ATTTCTCTCGGTTATTGAATGTACATGGGGTCAGTGATGTTAGTCAGGCAGAAATCGATACAGCTGAGCCGTTAATACCTGATCCAAGCCCTTTTGAGGTTGAAAGTGCTATTGCAAACTTGAAACGGTATAAATTGCCAGGTAGTGATCAAATTCAGGCACAACTTATTCAAGCAGGAGGGGGAAATATTACGTTCTAAGATCCACAATCTAATTACTTCTATTTGGCATGAGGAAAAATTGCCTGATCAGTGGAAGGAGTCTATTATTGTACCAGTTCACAAGAAGGGTGATAAAACTGACTGTAGTAATTATTGGGGGATATCACTGTTATCAACTTCATATAAAATTTTATTCAATATTCTTCTTTCAAGGTTAAGTCCATATATAGATGAAATTATTGGGGATCATCAGTATGGGTTTCGACATAACAGATCAACTACGGATCAGATCTTTTGAATTCGTCAGCTATTGGAGAAAAAATGGGAATACGATGAGACAGTACATCAGCTATTCATAGACTTCAAGAAAGCCAATGATTCAGTTAGGAGGGAAGTATTGTACAATATTCTAATAGAGTTTAGGATACCCATGAAACTAGTTAGGTTGATTAAAATGTATTTAAACGAAATGTATAGTAAAGTCCGTGTAGGTAAACATTTGTCTGATAAATTTCCTATCCAGAATGGTTTAAAACAAGGAGATGCTTTATCGCCACTCCTTTTCAACTTTGCCTTACCAGATGCAATTAGGAAGGTCCAGGGAAACCAGGTGAGACTGAAATTAAACGGGACACATCAGCTGTTGGTCTATGCTGATGATGTGAATCTACCGGGTGATAATGTAGATACCACAAAGAAAATCACAAATNTACAATTCAGTCCAGAACCTTTTGTCTTCTCATCTGTTGTCTAAAAACATAAAAATTGGAATATACAAAATTATAATTTTGCCTGTGGTTCTGTATGGATGTGAAACTTGGTCTCTGACATTAAGGGAGGAACATAGACTGAGGATGTTGAGAATATTTGGACTGAAGAGAGATGAAGTGACAGGAGGTTGGAGAAAACTGCATAATGAGGAGCTTCATAACTTGTACTCTTCTCCAAGTATAATTAGAATGATCAAGTCAAGGAGGATGAGGTGGGCAGGGAATGTAGCACGAATGGGGGAGATGAGGAATGCGTATAGGATATTGGTGGGAAAGCCATAAGGAAAGAGACCACAGGGCAGACCAAGGCGTAAGTGGGTGGACAATAATTGAATGGATCTTAGAGAGATAGGATGGGATGGTATGGATTGGATAGATCTGGCTCAGGATAGGGTCCAGTGGAGGGCTCTTGTGAACACGGTGATGAACCTTCAGGTTCCATAAAATGCTGGGAAATTCTTGAGTAGCCGCAGAATTGGCAGCTCCTCCAGAAGGGCTCAGCTCCTTGAGTAAGTAAGTAAGTAAGTAAGTAAGTAATCACAGTTTTAGCTACCCTCTACTGTAATGACAGTTATATGCAGGCTGATGTGTAGTTCTGGTAGTGGTGACAGAAAACTATCATATGGCAGGTGAACATATGCACATTGAAAATTTGTTTTTTAATAACTTCATAAAAATAGTACATTTTCTTTGAAATTTTAGCCAGTTGGATGAAAATTCCAGTCCTCAGGTACTGAAAAGCTGGGAGTTTACTGTAATATTTGCTGTGATACTTTGTTAAAAAAATACAGGTTTCAGTAATGTGCATAAAAATTTATTTTGCACAAGATACTTCTTTCATTAAATTCGGATACAAATATGCATCACAAATGTGAAACCATCCTGTTGACAAATAATTAGTACCAGTGAGGTTTGACAGTATTCAGACTTCGTATAAACATATGTAAGAAAATGACTGCCTGTCACAGATTAAATATTGTATAGTACATTTGCATTTACATCTCTGCTATTTTATGTTACCTTTTGATTTCCTGGTCTGTCACACTAGCAATATTATAAAGGTTAATTAACTGATAACAGTCACACTGGATGGTGTTAATTAACATTTATAATTATGTTACCTTCTTTAAACGATGAGAAATGAGATATTCATGTGTACTACACAAAACAGGCTGTCAGTTATTAGTTCAGGTTAAGTATTTTAACTTTTATTTAGGTGTTTTTTCTTCTTTTATTCTTTATTTTGTATACATTGTACATGATGACATTTCTTTATACCATGCTCATATTGAACTAGTGCTATGATTTCAGGTGGCCTAGGAACAAAACGCTTTTGTTCATCTTTGGATTTGGGCAACTACTGCAATTACATTAAACAGCCGGGTGATCAACTTGAATATCGTTCATGTGTGTTCACATGCTCAACTGATGGCTGCAACCTTGCAGGATCTAAGAGGCCACATCACCTAGTCATATTACTTAGTGTGGCATTGCTAACAATCATAGCAGTTTCATAATCCCTGCACTCATAATGAAACAAAGTGAAACTCAGTCCTAAATGTTACCACCTCTGGGAAAGCTGTATTATAGGTACACAACCATATACATATATAATTGTTTAGAAAAGAATATGACTTTGAAATATATTGGTTTTTGTGTCAGTGAATTCAGTGACTTGCCATACTGCATTTTGGAAAGTTAAAATGATTGAAATTATTTCACCATTTGAAATGTGTGGTGCAGTTCTGTGAGTGGCATAGAATACTTCATTCTCTAGGCATTTTTGTGAAAGTGTTATATATACTTTAATCATTATTCAAGACAAACATATAACCAGTACACTGATATTTTCATCCACAATGAACATGGGTATGTTCAGACTGAATTAATAAGATTTACAGTACCTGTAAAAACAAGCTCAGACTCTTTCACTAGATAATAAATAGTCTGTATACCAATTTTGTAAGTAAATATAGTCATTTGGTTTCAAGTTTTATATGCTCATATATTTCCAATTTTTTTATATTTTATTAAATGAGTATGTAAGCAGTTAAAAATGCACTTAATAGTTTCAGTGTTTTTAAATTGGGTACAAAATTATATGTATATTAAGAGGGAATAATACACTTTTCATTATTTTATGCACTTTAATGTTTGGTGTTTAAGCTATATTGACCTTAAACTGCCATGATGGACAGTGTTTCCTTACATGTAAAACTGTACTTGATTTTGAGCCCTGCATGATTGTATATCCACAAAATGTTTATGTTTCTTAATTTTGAAGTATTTTGCTCTGCAGAAATGATGTATAGTGCTAAATTTGAAGGCTATGAAATATATTATGATTATATGTATTATGATATTACAGTTGTGATTTGAAACTACGAATTCAGGTCTGAAGCTTGTGCTCAGGATGCAGTGACTGTGATATGACAATATAGACTCTGGAAAAGACATGTTTCTGCAGCAGTAGTAGTAAGACAGGCCCACTTTGGTCCTCTGCTTAAGCTTTTGATGCAGTGCTAAACACTGTTTTAATGTTGAAACAAGTTCTACTTTTATATGCAGAGGAGGGGGGAGCATTTTAATAATCCTTACTTTATGTCAACTTCTATCATCCCCCCTCCTCCAGTGTTTCTGTTCGTATTTTAACTGTGAACATGATCATAATATTTTGGTATTGTAAATTTAGTGATGGATCCAACATTAGATATCTACTGTGGCATAGTTATGATCTCCATAATTTTGTGTTATTGATTATCCACCTGATGATGGTTTGATTAAATTAAAACATGTAGTGGAATCAGATACCAGTGAGATAAAATATTGGTACTGTATTGTTTTGTGTGGCATATATATATAAAATCAGAAGATAAAAGTCTGAATTACTGTGATTATGAAAGAAGAGAATCCCATAAACATTTTGTTCAGCATGGCATTGGATGTCTTGTCTGTGACCGTTACTTGAAGGGCTGGAAACTACAAATCTGTCAGATGTGTTGGAATCACCACCATATGCTTACCAACCCAGAGGCCAATTATAAAGGAAGGCAACCAAAGAGACAAAAGTAACACCACAAAAGACAAAACAAGGCCATGTGTGTCATTAGACAATAACCATTCCATGAGAGCAGTCAGGTCAGCCATGAGGCAGTGAGAAAAAGAAACACCCCCCCCCATAGGGTTATGAGATGTTGAGGTTCTCACATTTTTTATACCATTGGCTCCTAGATGGCGGCAAGGTTGTCAGCCCNCTCCGGCCGCCCTTTACCCCCAAGAATATTCCAAGTTTATTCCTGGTACTCATATCTGTTAGAGGCTGAGTCGACCCCAGGGCCATAGTGCAACTGGCAGGATTAGGTCAACTGAAAAAAATCCCATGACCTCATCAGGACTTGAACCTGCGACTTTCTGGCTTGTAGCGTAGTGCCTCGACCAACTACTCTACCATGTGCCCCTATANTAGACAATAACCATTCCATGAGAGCAGTCAGGTCAGCCATGAGGCAGTGAGAAAAAGAAACACCCCCCCCCATAGGGTTATGAGATGTTGAGGTTCTCACATTTTTTATACCATTGGCTCCTAGATGGCGGCAAGGTTGTCAGCCCTACACGTCGGTCGCCCTTTACCCCCAAGAACATTCCAAGTTTATTCCGATCTTAATATGTTTTGTGGCCCGAGTTTATAATATTTTTTGTTTTATCAGTCTATCACTTTCAAACTGATCACGAAAAATAACTTAATGTGTAGTGTAGCTTGCATTATGAACTGTCATCACTGAATTCCTCCATAGATTTTTCAGTTTCTATCAGTGAATGCAGAATTATTTTGAAATTTCCTATTTATATTAACATCCACTGTTGCTTCCACCGAGCCACAGAATAATTTTCCAAGATGCATGTCTCTTGATTGGGAAATTTTCATTGGTGTCTTAAGAGCGTGCATGCATTGTTGAGGGTTTTGGACATTACTTTCAACATGAATTTAATATTTCATTCTCAGAACTTCATTTCAGGGATGGGAGGTGGTGGAGAGAGATGTAACCATTCAAATAATTTTAACCAATGATTTAACACTAGATACAGTGTTTATAATTCCTTGCTTTAGTAAAAAGCAGTAAATACAAATTACACTACCATACCTAACACAATGCATTCTAGACATGTGGACATTCAAGCTACAAAATTTCACCTTTACAGAAATTTAGGATAAATATTTAAATTTTCTTAGGTACAAAATTCAAAACAGATTAAGCTGAAATTGTTTTCTTTTTAAAGAAATAATTATTGGTTAAGAAATTCATGTTGCATATACAGATGCATAGGATGCGTAGCTGGCCATTGGTTAGCTTTCGTGCATGTGTCAGTGACACAGGATGACCTGCAGTAGCTTGGTTGCTGTTCCTATCTTATTTTAGATTGTGCATTGTATTACTCCTATGAAACATGTTTGGAAAGAGGCTGTCAATTTCAAGCTCTGTGTTAGAGCTTGTTTTTTCATACCAGTTATTATTTGTGATAGACAGACATGCGTTTTATTACAACTGTGGACCAAAAAATTTTTCATAGGTACACACCTTCACTACTAGCATGGGAGTCATTGGAGGAGTAGTGTTTATTTTACAGAATTTCGTGAAGTAGGCCAGTTTTCAAAAATACATTCCTTCTGTGATGTGGGGATGTGCTGTGTTAAAGAGGCATAAGACTTAACAATATTTTAAATTAAAATGTATGCTAGTTTAAGTACAGTGCATTTACAGGGGTTAAAACCATGGTTTGTAAACTTAGTTTGATGTGAATAAAAATAATTTAGGTCAAGAAATTACTTAAAATGTGATTTAGCAATTCAAAAACAATTTTTAATGAACCTTAATTATATTATGAAGTACTTTCCATATTATATTGTGTGTAATTTAATGTGACTTTTGCTATAAAATTAAATGTATGATAATTAGACTAATAGCAATTTTGGCAGCCTTTGGAAGGAGGTTGGCATGGCTCCCACATTTGGAAATGCTGACTTAAAAGATACATACTAGAAATGATTAAATTTGATTACCAGATAAATTTTTCATTATTTTATTTTTAGCAGTATGTACAAATAAACTTTCCAAACACCATACTTGACATTATACACTATATTCCTTTCAACCTCTACAAAAATTTGTATGAGTTTTGTCTTTTTTAAAAAATAATGGTTGTCAGCTTGCAGGGAAAGTTATCACAATATATTTGAAATAAAAAAAAGACTTGATACATGGGGACCACTTTACATCTCTGGTAGATATTTAAATTAAAAGACAGAAGTTGACCACTTGCCAGTTACAGGTGGTGGTGTTTTATTTGTGCTTGGTGAAGCTGAGCCACTTGCAAGTGGAAGGAAAGTTCCAGTGATACATTTGGTTCTGTACAAATGCCTCCTTGTCAACTGGTTCAGGATAAGCTGCAGCCATACCTATTTGAATAACAATGTTACATATTATATCACTGCAGTAATATACAGAAATCGAAAATATATGTATATAAAAGGTAAATTGAAAAAGTATTAACAGAAAATTATAACACAGAAATGTGTATTACCATGTATAGTATGTATGCAATTAGTTTTAAGTTAACTGTGGCATATATGCTTGAATTTTTTTTATTAATTAATTAAAGACTGGGTAACCCAGAACTTAATTACAATTAAATTAATTTATGATTATTTTTTTTCTAAACCTAGTATACTAGGTAAATTAAAAGTAAGTCACTTCCACTGAATTACTTAGTACTAAACAGTTAACTAGTTCGAACGGTTTCTTCCGTTTGAGTCGTCTAATGATATTGTTCACATTGAGAAGTGTGGACGATTCAATGTTGACATTGTGTGCTTGAAATATTTGTAATTTATATAGTTAAATAAAAAAACATATAGTCTTACCTTGGGTTTTAAATTTCTATTTTCATGCACTATGCCAACATTTAACACATTACAATAAAGAGTTTTAACATTTTAGTGTTTTATACAGAGGTGCAACAGTTGCAGAAGTGTAGAAAACTTAGATGTGTTAGATGACATAGTTTACAAGTATACAGCATTCATCCTACTATTACATTCTGCTGTTCACAGCTAAATAAGTTCTTTCTCTGCATACAGTTTAATACGTGGATGAGTATAAAATGTGTGGGATGCTAATTATAATTATACCTGCCATCCTTCCCTGTTAGAAATTTCTGAGAAAGAGTCTTAGCAACATGTGAAAGTACAATTAATACTCATCCTTCAAGTGTTAGGAGTAATTTTCCAAGTAATATGATACAGATTATGCCCAGGACATTCAAGTAAGGTTAAAGTAATATGATAAAGATTTTGGTGGGTCTTGTTCTAAAGTGTCATGAACTGCAGTCCCCCCCCCCAACTCTTCCATTTTTCTGAAGAAGTTACTTTTAAATCACCGGCTGGACCGAATGTCTCTCTTCTGTTCTTAAAATGAAATATGTTTCAGATGTAAGCATATGTGATCACAATTTGGATTATCTTACTTAAATTGCTTACTATTTTTTAAGGGGTTTATTTTGGGAAATGTCAATCTTTTAGTTGGTTCTTGGCAGGTCTCCATTTCTGATGCATTACAACATAATCAGTGCGCAATATTAAAATAAGAGGACATAACTTGTGGATCACAGTAGATGGGAGGAAGCATACACAAAAATTGTAAAGCTGTTTCACCAGTTCTGGTCTGAAGAAAGTGGACTGTATACCAAGCTGGAAGAAAGACAGGAAAGCAAGACGAAAGGAAAGTACAAGCAAATGCTGTTTTCTTATGGGATTACCGAGCTGACCTGCTCACAGTTTTGGCCAAATGTATGAGCTTGGCAATGCAGATTTGTAATGATAATCGTAGAGCTGAGCTTGGATGAAACCTTCCTTATCTTCCGGTTCAGGATCAGTTGAGGCCATTCCTGGAAAATATTGGTCAACAAAATGCATGCCTAATATGTAAGACCACCATCTTAAAAAATGTTACAATGTCCTTCTCCATTTCTACATGCAAATTATCCCAATGAACACCCTTTCTAGTGCCACCATTGTACTATTTGGACAAACCAGCCTCATTCACATTCAGTGTGAAGGAGCATAAACAGAACTTCATTTATGAGCTGAACTAAAGAATGTAAGCCTTTTATTTATTTTACTTCCTGATTATAAATCTGGTGGCTGGTGTAGTTAAGAAATCTGAGCAGGTGATAAATCCACTGTGATTTTATTGCTACAAAAGTGACCACTTGGATTTTCATCCTTGATGATAACTACAGCAAATATATCCCAGGACTAGTGCTCTCTTTCATGCATTATTTCTTTAATTCATCATGAAAGTGTAACAATGATCATGTTTACAGAGCAGTCTCATGCTAAACAGTTGATCTGTAATGCTAAAGAACATTAAAAAAAGCGTTTAATACCATGTATCCACCTTACTCACTTTGCAGGCAAAGCCCAGGTTACCCAGTACACCCAAAATGACAGACATGGCTTTCCAACCCTTCACTTGCATCATATGACATAGTTACAGTTTAACCAGATTCATATCCCATTCAGATCCTTCATCAAGCTCAGTCAACATTTTAGAAATGCCAGGCTCACAATTTTTAAAATAAAAAAAAGGGGGGGATGGAAATAGAATCTAGCAATGCACCCAATATTCGGATAAATGCAGATCAAATGGCAAGAAAGCAATAAGGAAACATTGTGGGAAGGCAGAGAAGATTGGAGACTTCTCACTGTTGGCCCATCTAAAATGGAAATGATGCTAGAAACTTAGGTATGTCAAAGGGGCCCAGCTTTCAGAAAATCACATTCAAGTCCAAGTAGAGGAGAGCAGGGAACTAGTATGTAAATAAAATAATCTCATTTGGTTATAAGTAACATTCTACTTCCCTACTTACATTTGTGAGGCAAATCCTTATAAAAACATAAATTTTGCACTTCCAGAATAGAGATAATGTGAAATTTAATTTCCAGTTCTCTGTATGAGTTGTTACTTTATGTATTTCAGTGTATCTGAAATTAAATGTTAACTAATACATCACTTCTGAAGAAGTATAATATACAGCCCACAATTACAGTGTTTCCTGCCACATTTATGCTTTAATTTTGTTATCATTGAAACAGTAAACCCAGTTCAGTGGTTAATATGTATGGATAAAAAGGGGGAATACCTTGATTATTACAGCAACAGCCTATGAGGACCTTGGCAGAAGACGGCTACCAGACATTTGCTCTACACTGAACTTCTTCACTTAACACACCATAGGGGTGTAATGAGTCTGTAACCACTGCTAGTGAAGCGAGTGTTTAATTTAATATTATGAGTGGTACATGAACACATAATTGACATCATATTTCTTCCTGTTTTTGAAATTAAATATATAATTTAGAATGAAGATACAAGAGAATTTCAAGTGTCATATACAGACTATGAACCAGCATTCAGAGTCTTTTCTTTATGTCACTGAGCATACATATATTAATTTTCATTTCTTATCAAATTATATTTATGGAGTTGCATTGCATGAAGTAAGGAATATCATGATTTTAGGTAGGAATATACAATAATTAATAACGTTGCATGCAACTTACCGTGTTCATATGCATAGTCAGCAATTCGAGCAGCGATCTTAAGAGAGCACTTCTGGATAGTGGTGAGTGGTGGATAGAGGCTTCCTGAATCCAGATCATCTTGCGATACGAGAGCAGCCAAAGTCTACAGGTTGGAAGACAGAAGTGGTTACCCATACTACATTAATCTAAGCTTGGAAAAGTCCTATTGTTCTGACAGCCAGGATGATGTAAAAAAAAGTCCTAATCCAAAACGTTGTAATTTATACAGTGCATATAACTTAGGCCATGGTTACACTGGAATTTCAAGCTTCATTCCCATCTGGTGCATGGACATGTTTCATGTTATTCTGTATCATTCTGTTATTGTGATGGTTTCATCCTCCATCCATGAAATCCAACTGCTTATCTTCACACTCTGAACCCAGAGGGTATTTTAATATCCTATCACTATGAACCAGAGGGTTACAGAACAGCAGGAATGTGTAAATTCCTGAGTACTAATTTTACTTCCATAAGTTGTGCACAGATAAATATGGATATATCACACAGACGCCTATATAAAGTTACACGTATGAGTGACTGTGGATGGGGTTTGGATTGGAAATTGGATTTACTGACCCTTTACAGATCATAACTGTGAATAACTATAACATTATCGCTAATATCCACACTTTACAAATCATTACAGCCTTCTCAGTCTGCTTCTGTGCACAAGTCCTTACTGTCCAGTGGATATCCTACAACTGAACTAAAATCTAAACTTATCTCATTGATAACTCCCTGGCACAGACCATGTAGAAAACACTGTTTCCAGCACTTCCTCTACTGTTGTGTTGTTAGGGTCCCCACATAATCCCTACCCAGCCAGTCCACTGGCACACTAGTTGTTGCCTAGCAATGGCTGTTGTCTTGTTTGTTTCTAGGTATTTGTCTTGTAATGGGTTTGTATGCCACATTGCTATGTAGTGCCATAATTCTTCACATGTTTCTCGTGACATTCCTGCTACTATATATATATATATATATATATATGAGAAACAAAGATGTAATCGCTTCAATTATATGTTACTGTTTCACAGTGGATTATATATACTCATTATTCCATATGTGAAAAATTTTGGTACGACAGTATGCAGCAGGAAGTTCACGATTGCCTTTCTAATGTGATGTTTACCTGTATCTGCACTCACTTTTACACAGTAATTCAAATTAAATTTTTTCCACTGCCCATTGTGCAGGAATGAATTTTTGTTTTAGAACCTTTCTTATTTCTCTTAACCATTCTTCATATATGTTGTTTTCTGTTTAAATTAGTGTTCATATTTTATTGTTGAAAAACATGAAATATGTCAATTGGAGAACTGTCTTCAGTTAGATATAAATTAAAATTAAATTTTGTTTGTCCAGGAAGTCCAAGGTTCCTTAGAGCAACAACATTTTCTTTGTATGAAATTTTCCATATGTCCCGTTTTGTCTTCTCTGTACAGTGAACTTCTGTTATTTGGTATCCAGCTACTACAGTTTTAGTGATCCTTGATTACAGTAGAGGTCAGTTGAATTTGTGACCCCATTACAGCATATCCAAAATCCTTCATACATCAGTCCACTTTGCCAGCTAAGATATCTCATACACAAGAAGTAAAGAAAAAACACATTGTTTTGACTTTGAGATAGAAAATGGAAATATGTAAAATATCAGAAAGGGATGGGAACTATTACATTTCTACTATTACTATTACTATTTCTCATGCAATCAGAAGATTCATATGACTGGAACATCCCATTCCTCATGCATGCTGGAAAATGGGGAGTACTGTAATTGTGGTTGAACAGGAGTGTTTTATCTTAATATTCATTGGAATCTGAATAATTCACTATTTCAGATATTCTACTATCACAAGTTTTTAGCTTTCAACCACAAAGCTTTATGTATTTTAATGAGGTTTATTATTTATTTTGTGTTCAATTAAACATCCAGCTTGAGTAAGATGATTACCCACACTGCAAAAATCAGTTTACACTGGGAAATGTATCATTCTCTCCCCTGACACTGGTCATAAGATAAACTCAGTGAAGACGATGTTGAGAGAGAGACAAAAATTAGGCTGGTTACACCACCATAATCTGAAGGTGGTACAAAATTTCTGTGCTGTTAAGACCTGTATAAATGACAGATACTTGTGGAACTGCTTTAAAGTGAAATTTGCATGTCATTAATGCCAGTGTTTTAGTTTTAAGTCAATTTTTAAAATGAAATCGTATGCCAGTATGACTCTCAGTGTCATAACAGAATGTGATGGTTAGTATGGATAGGCCTGTAACTGCAGGCACAGTACTACAGTAAAATGTGCAATATTCAGCATGTCAGGGATCTAAGGGTTGCCACATATCTTACTTTTCTGGATACTGGGTCATTAGACCTAATGTGCATATCAGTGAACCCAGTAATCTCATGGGCAGAGCTACCATTTAATTTGCTACTTGATATCCTGTCCAGTTTTCCCTGCTGCACTTTCTATTCCCCTTTCATCATCACTTATATAATGTGGTGTATATACTCATATGATCTTGAAAGACACTATATTTTACTCTTTTAATCAGTTATTCAACTAGTCAATTTCCAGTTAATAACGCTTTCCAGATCATCCAGTGCTGGATATCACAGCTTTTACTGGATTAAGAATTTAGAAAGACTCTAACATTGAAGAAGCAAAAAGACAAACTTGAATAGTATGAGGTCTGTAGTAACTGTAGTACATCTATCAACACAGGACATCTCAGAAAAATATGGACAGATATGTCTATGCTTTGATTCGGTTCCTACATGTCATCAGTATCTAAGTGGATCAAGACTATGCATGCCTTAGGCTCTACATCCATTTACACATGCTCAATTATGTAGGGAAGTAAAAAATTATCCGCATTCTTATTTTTCCAATTTATATACACAAAAGTAGGGGTTGAACAAGTAAGTAATTTTTCTACAGTCTCCTTCCTTTTCGATGCACTTGGTCCAGCGGTCCACAAGCTTGCGTATTCCCTCCAAGAAGGTTTTCGGTTGGTTGCGCAACCATTTATGCACCACTTCCTGCATTTCTTTGTCCGTAGAAAGTTAACGACCTTGTAAAGCATCTTTGAGTGGTCCAAAGAGATGATAGTTGGAAGGGGCGAGATCTGGGCTGTAGGCAGGGTGTTCCAGGACCTCAAAACCCAAATGGTTAATGGTTTCAGTGGTCTGGCCGGCCATGTGTTGGCATGCATTGTCATGCAACAACAACACTTTCTTCGACAACAGGCCTTGGCATTTTGTGTGAATTGCTGGCTTCAGATTGTTGGCCAGCATATCACTGTTGATCATACACCCTTTTTCCAGGTAGTCTTCCAGTATAGGTCCTTTTGAGTCCCAAGGAAGATTGAGTCTTGAATTTCTTGTCTGACCACTTTTAAACTTCTCGATCCACTCATACACACTTCTATGTGGTAGAGCACTGTCCCCATATTGTGTTGAAAGCCTCCGATGAATTTCAGCCCCGACACACCTTCCAACCAGATCATTCCTCTTTGTTCCTCCTTGGTGCCCACTGCTAGTGGAGCAGCCATGTTTACACTGTCACAGCATCAAGGAAAATGATGCAATCAAGGTCAAACTTCGATCACGTGACCATAGTAGTACCAGCTCTAAGCATTCATGCGCAGAAGGCAGTGTGAAAAACCTAAAGATGTGTTATGACGAAAGTGCGGATAATTTCTGACTTTCCCTCATACAATCAAGGCAGGCTACATTTTATTTTATGGTGAATAAAGTGCTTGAGTTACCTTGCAGAAACTATTATAGTTTGTACACATAAAAATAAATTCTTAACTTAATATGACTAATTCTGAGCACACAAACGTTTCCACACCTTAAATGGCAATTTTCATGATGAGCTTTTTAGACTAATTTCTGATTTTCTTTAAGTTAAAGTAATGGTATTTAAAGAGAATAGTATGATCATTAAAAGCAGCTACTCACACTTGGCTCAGTTTGAGAATGTGATGTTTTTTTTTACTCCACCCCTAGTGCCAAAAATTTGAGGAGCATGTGTTTAATAACACCTACCTTTGCTGCAACTAGGAAAATGTCATCACTAATATGATGTATCCCAGTGCAGATTACGCCCAATGCAACACCAGGAAAGATGTATGAGTTGTTTCCCTGACCTGGGTAGAAGGTTTTGCCCTTGTATACGAAAGGAGGGAATGGAGACCCACTTGCAAATACACACTTGCCCTGCACAAAATCAAAATTTTAATGATAATAACACATGTAACAAAAAACAACATAAGCATACACTCAATATGAGGAGATCTTGGCCTTGCACATGGATCAGTGCTGTTTGTGTTTTCTTCTTCTGTACCTTCAGATTGATTTTACATACAAAATATTGTGGCAGTCGAAATTATAACCTTTACTTCAATGAACTGAGACAATTTTTAGCCTGTGCCATATCAACTTCTACTTCATGAAACAAAAGTATAATAAAAGGTAATAAAGCCAAACTCATAGTTTTATTATAGTCATTCCCATCTGATGTTGGTAATAAATAAGTTGTAACACCCATAGCATTCTGAAAGCTTTTTGTTTAATTTGTAAAGTACACTGCTGCAGAAACTTCACAAATCATTTGGGATTATTTTCTTGGAGTTCATTCATTACTCCAGTTGTTACACCAATTACACCATCATCCCATCTCTATCACCAATGCTGAACACCCAGAGTAGTTGATATACATAATTGCTTGACAACAGGACATCACCCAGTTTGTTCATACATAGTTTTAAATAACCTGACATCATCCATTCATTCTCAAAGATCCAAGCCCATCTGTAGTTTGACTTACTAATAAAATAATTTACTTTTGAATATGTTTTACATTTGCATTCATATATAACAATTAGTGATCAATAGTTTTGGTAGAACTAATACATTTTCTACAAATACAGCAGTGTGAAAAATACAGATTTTATAATAATTTTAGAGAGAGACAGGAGAGACACATAGTTCAATAACCATATGTAATGTACTTATAATAACATCCTTTGAGAGCAAGCCTGCTCATATGGAAAATTATTTAATTTCATGAAGAATAAATATAGAAGTAACCAATGTGCCACAGAGCTGCGATGGCACATTTGGTACAGTGTCTGGTGTGACCAGTGGTGTGCGGTACTATTTTTGGTAAGGGAAGCAGTGGTATCTAATAAATGAACTGATATCAATCAACTCACGAAAATTTACGTCACTTATTGAGTCAAGGTCGTTTTGTATTCCGTTCGATAAACCTGTAAATGCTGTACTGTTCTCAAGGTGAACATTGAGTTTAGGATAATATTTCCTCAACAAGTGAACTAATTCCACATAATTACCTCGGTCAAGAGAATCCACACTTTTGTCATGACCATGGAGGGCAAGTTGCCTCTTTCCTAAATGGCAGATGATATCAATCAAGCGTTTCATTATTTCTCTATTTTCTTTCACATTTTCATTCTGCTATAGTATCATCAGGGGCTTTTGATTGTCAAGTTGACAGTCAACTGGAGATTTCCCGAACACAGCAAGTTGCACTGTTGAAATAATGTGAGTCTGAGAGTTCTCATGTTGTTTCAATGCTTTATGAAGATTGTTGATATCTCCAAACCCAGTGTTGTTCCATACATTTTTTTTTTTCCAATGAGAAACAATAGGCATGGCCAACAAAACAATTTTCCCATATTACCGCAACCGGATAGCCACTCTGTTTTAGAATACTGTTCCGAATTAAATTTTCTCATGCATAATTTGGTTTGTGCTTTAAATTCTGGCAACTTGCAAGTCAGTCATCCTCTTTCTATAATTATTTTCTTTTCAGAAAAGTCCCTGCTATTAAACTCCTGTTTTAAAAGGCTTTTGATTGCACAGTCACAGTCGTGTTGTTTGCCAGCATTCATTTTAGCTGTTGCCTGTGCGTGTAGTCTAATCACGCCCCTGGCTCTTGTACCACAATATGACACTTGCTTCCCTTAAACGCAGATAGCTTCTTTCAGATGCCTCAAAATACGATCACAAATAAAATCTTATGCCATCTAAATATGCACTTACAATATTTTAATAAAACTTAATGTTACCTATAACACCCAACAAGACTGAAATCACACATACACAGTTAATTTTCACATAACCAGCAAAAGAACACATTCCTTCGCTGGCCTAGCAAGCAAACCGAAATTTGCTTCCCTTGGCCCCTTCGGATTAGATGAATTATTACGAAGACTAACGAAAGGAAACTGGGTCTGTCCCACCAAGCAGGGTTAGGGAGGAGGAGGAGGAGGCATGTGGCCTTGAGCAGGAACACACGCTAAATGACAATATTCATATCCTTATTATTCAAATTGAATTATTTATATATGACTTCTTTTCTTCTCATTTCTTAAGTACGGAAGCAATGCTTCCCTTGCTTCCATGCATAGCATGCCACTGGGTGTGACCTGGACTGCTGACAGGTCGGAGCTCTAGTAAATTAAAAAGTAAAGGTGTCCCTGTAACAGGCTGTGGAGGCCCATAGGGATGTGAGATGTTGAGGTTCCCACATTTTATAGACAATTGGCTCATAGATGGCGGTAAGGTTGTCAGCCTTATGCGCTGGCCATCCTTTACCCCCCAAGAATATTCCTGGTACTCATTTCTGTCGGAGGCTGAGTTGACCCCAGGGCCATAGTGCAGCTGAAAGGATTAGGTCAATTGAAAAAGTCCACCTCATCGGGATTCGATCCTCTGATCTTCCGGCTTGTAGCATAGTGCCTCAACCAACTATGCTACTGTGTGCCCCCAGAGTTCTAGTAAGGAAAGATTTTTCTCCTCTCCATAGTGTCCTAACCAGTTCTGGGGTCCACCCACCCTCCTATTCAATGGGTACTGGGGGCACAGGAACAACTTTACTTTTATTGACATGCCACTCTTGAGACAGATATTCAATCTGCATGGCGTGAGAGAAGCATTCTCTTTTAGAGTCTCCCTGTAAATTACTGGAAATCTGACATACAATTAAATTTAATAGATCTGTATCCTTATGTTCAGAGTTGGTTAACATAAGTATATGCAAGAAATTTTAATGCAAAATCAACAAGCCTATAGCCCCATAATTTACAAATAAATTTATCCACATTACAGCAGATGCCATATGCTTGTCAATTATGTAAGAAATCTGAATTTCTGTGAGATGGCTAGATGGGAGGAGCATCAGACTTTTCAACCTGAACTGCTAAAATATTTCCAGAAGGTAAATTCACCTATTTGTATAAATTATGAGATACAGTTTTCTGTGCCATGATCCTATTTTAAATTATGGAGTTTATTCTGCTTCTGGTCTTAATAAAACAAATCACAGGAAGATGGTAGGCAAAGCTTACATCTGTGTTTGTATAGGCAGACTCTGCTGTGCATTCAGCCTTTACAGTTGGATTGCTAAGCGCAAACACAATCGGGTGCTCGTTGAAGGATGCCATGTCACGCAAGATCTCAGGGGTGAAAACTCCTCCTACTGCAGCGGCACCTGTTAACAGATTGTTTGCAACTGACTGCACACCAGAAGATATGTATTCTGTATACTGTTTCCTATATGTGGGTATGAATATGTAACAGTGGAAAATTCATATATATATACTTCCCAAAATTAACAATTGTTCCTTGTTGAATTTACAGTAGAAGGATATGATGAGTGGGACAAGGTATGTATGGAGGAAAGGACAAATACATACAAAATTATGGTCGGGAAATATATATAATTGGGAACATAACATGAAAATAGCAGTGGAATTAGCAGCCATGAACTATTTGACATGGGGACTTACCTCCTCTAGAAATTTAAGTAGGCTATGACTACGTAAACGTAACATTCACTCTCCCCCCCATCCTGTGAATCAAATGGCTCCATCATTGCTCTATTAACATATATATCAGAGAAAGAGGCTGTGAACAGGACTGAACTGACTTCTGTAATGATAAGCAACTTTAGGTTCCTTAAGAAATTTCTTGGCTGATGGAGTAACTATTAACTGCTTAAGAAATGTGGTGTACGTTAGAAACAGTCAAGAAGCTATCCTATGAGACTGTTCTCAGGGATGTGACATCATGTCGTTTAGTATATCATTACTGGCATACTGGGGGAGTGTGCTGCATCTGTCTTCAGGGTAGAAGATGGGAGCAATGTATTCCTCTGAAAAGTAAGTAATGATCTACCAGACTATACAATGTCATATCTCAGAAGTAATCTTCACAGTTATTCTATGTTCTACAACATGCTCCGCATATTCTTGGGTTCTGCTGTGCTATGGAGTGGCATGCTGAACTTAGCATGACATGGCTACATGTAAAATCCAAAGTAGTTTACTAACTTTGTGAAAGTCACCTATAATTGAGTCTTGGATCCTATGCATCTTCTTAATGCACTTATTAGCACATTTCCTTAGTTCCTATCTGAGCCAGATGAATCCACTTTACAATATCATATCATTTTTAACATCCATTTCAATATCATTCTCCAATCTAAGCCTACATCTCTCAAGTGGTCTCTTCCTTCCAGGTACTTAAGCTAAAATTAGCATCCTATATGCTCTGCTCATTTGATCCTACATGATTTAATCATTCTAATTATACATAGCCGGTGAATATTATAAATAATGAGGCTCATTGTATAATTTTGTTCAGCCACAATTTACTTCCATTATCTTGCGTTAAAATATTCTCCTCAGCAGCATGTTCTCATTCGAAATTTGTGTTTTTCACATAGGATAAGAGGTAAAGTTTTATACCTATACAAATTAGCAAGAAAAAGTATTTAAAATTCTCAGTTAATGGTTATGCAAAGCACAATAGATCATTGAAGGTCGCAGTGCGGGGGCCAGTTTTTTATGGCCCACCCCTTACATACATAATGGTTATGCAATTGGTGTAACAGTAGCATGAAACTGACTATTGTATTCAGCAGATGGGAAAACTCAGATACCAAGTAGAGCATAAATTTGTTTATACATTAATTTAAACAAATAATTATAACAGAACTTAGAGCCTGTCTTACTGTCAGTGAAGAAAAGCATGTCATTTGGCTTGTGTTAGACTTATTGCTGCACTTTAAAAATGTTGTTTTATTTATTAAAAAGTTTATACCCAAGAGAGTAATTCCTTATGCATCTTTTTATTATTATTATTATTATTATTATTATTATTATTATTGCAGAATTTCTTCAATAAAAAGCCATTGTTACAAAACTCTATACATTTGGTGGTCTGTTACAGGAAAGGAATAATATTTTAATATTATCCCTATGATTGTCAATTATTACATAGTATGAACACTTTTAATGAATTGTATGTTGAAAAGAAAGACAGGGGGAAAAGAGAAAGATGGTTGTAGACAAAATCTGAACTCAGTATTTTTATAATACCTTGTTACCTGAGTGGATAACCCTATGAAGAGCCATACGGCATGGTACTTGTAAACAGCGAATTGGGCAGGATTGAATGGATATGCTCATGACCTATTTTAAGATATCACCGAATAACTTTCTCAGAACTAAGGAAACCCATCTGAATGACATTACAGGTAGCCAGTCTCTTGATTTTTACCTGCAACCTATGAACTGTAGAGCAGGAGTGGTAACTACTACCTTGCAACATTCTGTAAAACTGACAAAAGGTTATAGCATTTATATGAAATTTCTAAACCACCTCTGGTGAACAAATACATGAAGTTCTCTCAGGTAATCAGTCAATTTATTGGCTGGTTCTATCTCCACCATCAGGGTCAATGACCATAAGTAATTGATGTATTACGTTTTGTCTGCACGTGTATTTATGTATATGTGTAGGGCCGCACCATAGCTCAAGCGGTTAGTCGCTGGCTTCCCACCGTGGCGGCCCAGGTCTGGCCAAGTGGGATTTGTGGTGGGCAAAGTGGTGCTGGGGCAGATTTTCTCCAAGTACTTAGGTTTCCCCTGCCAATCTTCATTCCACCAATTGCTTCACAATCACCCTCACCTATCATCTGGGGCTGGTACAATAGGCCAGAAGTGGCCGCAGTGCAAGGGACTTAGTCCCATCCCACTAGCAATAACAAAAATATGTATATGTGTATGTAAAGTAAAAGTAAAGGTATCCCTGTAACAGGCTGTGAAGGCCCATATGGTTGTGAGATGTTGACGTTCCCACATTTTCTAGACAATCGGCTCATAGATGGCGGCAAGTTTGTTGGCCCTATGCGCCGGCTGCCCTTTACCCCCAAGAACATTCCAAGAATATTCATGGTACTCATTTCTGTTAGAGGCTGAGTCGACCCCAGGGCCATAGTGCGGCTGGAAGCGTTAGGTCAATGGAAAAAATCCAATGACCTCATTGGGACTTGAATCCGTGACTTTCTGGCTTGTAGCATAGTGCCTCAACCAACTACACCACCGCGTGCCCCATATGTATATACATATTTATATTTGTACCTCAGAAGTATCAGCACCTCTGAGATTATGCATGCACATGCAGATCATAAATGTGTTGTGGGGGCATGCGGTAGCGTATTTGGTTACAAATGTTACACTATGTTACAAGCTGGAAGGTCGTGGGTTCAAGTCTTTATGAGGTCATTGGATTTGTTTCAATTAACCTAATCCTTCCAGCTGCACTATGGCCCTGGGGTCAACTCAGCCTCTAGCAGAAACGAGTGCCATGAATATTCTTGAAATATTCTTGGGGGTAAAGGGCAGCCGGCGCATAAGGCTGACAACCTTGCTGCCATCTATGAACCGACTGTCTAGAAAATGTGGGAACCTCAACATCTCACAACTCTATGGGCCTCCACAGCCTGTTACAAAGATACCTTTACTTTTACCTTTTTTTACTTATCATAAATCTGTTGTACCTCAGAAGCATAAGGGTTGAAGAGACAGTATACATGGTTATGTGTGCATCACACACACAGACACACAAGAGAGTGAATGATATATATCAGTGACGTGTGGGCATTTACCACATCAACAATGTTAGTGCAGACAGAACCTGTCTCCAAAATGTTACTTTCCAGTTCAACACTGATCCAGCTGATTGTCCAAGAGAATTTTAGTGTATTTCACCACCTCACCACTAATCTCCAAGGATCTCATAGACAGGAATTGCACCCACTGAAAAAAAATTACTTTTCCATAATATAGAAGGTGTTCTTATTTAACAGCTCACCTATTATGACAGAGGGTTTTATTTCTCTGACTATTTCTTCAAGGTTCTTGATTGGAACATGGTTCTTGGCATAGAGAACCTTGTGACCTGTCACGCCGCCTTCTGGCCGATCTTTAACAATTAATCCCTTAGAGTCCACCATCCAGATCTTGTCCCTGGCATCTTCTGTTGATGTACCCTCGGCTTGCATTGCCATCACACACAGTTGAGCAATACCTAAGGAAGCCTATGGACAAAGTCAAGCAAGCAGTGATGTAAGAAGAGCAAAAGGTTGAAATGGGACATTCATCCTTCAGGCAACTCTTCTCTGTATGCTTCTCACTCCATGTGGTATCTGGTTTATATAAACAACAGTTCTTTGAAACTCTTCTGTTCTTTCTGGATCACTGCAGGTGCTCTTTTCATACTACACATGTGAGTATTTGACATTTTCTGAGAATTTCTGTCAGCTATTACTATTGGAGAAAATTTGAGTGACTTGCAGTTGACCAATCACAAGAAATGAGCCTAATTCAATTTTCAACATTACCGCATTTCTCAAGTTCTTTTGGTATATGATTAAATAAAAAACTATGGACACCATTCACTCACTGTAAGAATGGCAGTAAGTTGATATACCTTACATTTAAAACTGTAAATGAACATTTGAAGAATAATACACTTCATGGAGCAGAGTGCTCTATGAACAGCTGATAGCTATGCAGCTGGCCAGGAAATTTCCAACTATGAAAAATCCAAAGTCTGTTACCAGTACCATGTTCATGAAAGCTCAAGAACTGACCACATCTTTAGCCAAATGAAACCATTTCATATCATCACAACTTGTCTCTCAGATAAGTTTCAATACTATTCTGCCATCTGTGTCCACATCTCTAAACTAGCTACTCCCATGTTCAACCCTTCAACTGCAAGGCAAAGTCTGACATCCATACAAAACAATCAGAGTTTACACTATTTAAACCAGCATTAATGTACATCCATGTCTGGTGGTTTATCGTTTAAATAACTGCTTATATGACCTAGAGCAAACCTTCATGAATGTAAACTTGAGATACTAAAATTATTTGTAATTTCAAAAACATATTTATTTTTTTGAAACAAGCTATTACTAACAGAACATTAAATAATATTCTGTCTTCAGCAGTCAGTTTAGCAATGTAGCAGAGAAGTCAGCATCTGTAAACCCTGGACTCAGAGTAACTTATTTGTATTTTCCCAGATGTGATCTGAAACTCCTTACCTCTCCAGCGCCTTGGAAGAGGATGATGTTATCTGAAAGACGAGTGTTTGTAATACGGAGAGAAGCTAACAGACCAGCCACAGCAACTGATGCTGTTCCTTGGATATCATCATTGAATGTGCAATACTTTTCACGGTACTTATCCAGAAGACGGAATGCATTATGATTGCCAAAATCTTCAAACTGAAAAAATTAAAAAGGAATACCAATTAAAACGCCTATACAGTAATAATATTATATTTCAGCATTCTGTTGCATGGATTTATGATCTGAATAACACATTCATCCTGTGTGGGTATTAACTGTAGTTCAGTTGTCAGTGTCCCTTCTTTTTTTGGATGTTCATAATGGTACCTATAAGATTCCTTTTGGAGACTGAGTGAGTGGTGGACCATATGCAGATTTTTAGGGGCAGTGTTGTTGTCATTGGCTCTTCTTTATTGGATGTTTTGTGGTTTGTGACTGCCATGAACACCACATACAATAAAAAAAAAAGGCAACAACAACAGAACTGCTCCTGAAGATATGCATAATATAGCGCACCACTCACTTAATCTCAAAAAGGCACCTTTTATTCACCATCACGAACACTCTACAAACAAAAGTTGTTGACAATTGAACTACATCCAATACCCACACCAGATGAATGCATTACAGTCATCATTTTCCAAAGGAATACTTGGACTAGTTATGTGCTTCAATTCACATTATAATTTTAACCTATAAAAATAACTTTTAACTTTATATTTTGATTCTGAAGATGGTCATATATGGCCAAAACATTATTAGTGTGCAAAACTGAGTGAAATGTGATGGTTTGGCAATAACCTTGTAGATGCTGAACATTTATGGAAGTTGCATTAATAAGACTGAAAGAAGAAAGTCCCATAGAGTAAACTGTTTCCATATGCTGAACAGATTTTTCATGTGGTTAACTCTATGTGCTGACCTGAATTAGAGTATTTTGACCATATCTCTTGACAACAGCTCTCATGAACTCATCAATGAAATCTTCATACTCTGCACCAGTAATTCGTTTGTGCCTTAGGCCTATATAAAGTGGATCATCCAGGAGTGCCTATAACAAGAAACATAAACTGGTGTTACTACATCGTACTGAATCCTGTCTCTGAACTAACTGCATAATTGGACTTCATTACACTTCATTAGCATGGAGGAATATGGCAGTTTCTGTATCAAGATTTCATCCACTCAAATTCATATAAATAAATGTATAAATATACACTGCAATATAAACTTATGTTAATGGTCAAGAGTAGTTTCTAAAGCTTCTCAGAATGCTGCCATGCTTCTATTAAATATATGCAAATTTTTGTCTAGACATTGCAGAAGTGAATTGCATTGGGTATAAACTGACTCAAAGATTCTGCCTTTGGAAGCCCAACATCTTATGAAGTCTCCTTCTCAGACCCATAACCAAATCCATGGATTAGGTTCCTTCTTGATAAGATAACAACAACTTTGCCGTCTTTCTACTTTACCAAGAGGTTCATTATTGTACTTAGAACAGCTTATCAATTGACTCTGTCCTGAGTCAGTTAAATCAAGTCTACATCTTTATATCCTATTTCTTTAAGACCCATTTTAATATTATTCTCCCTTCTATGCATAGGTCTTCTAAGTGGTCTGTTCTCTTGTTATTTTCTGGCTAAAATTTTGTATGCATGTATCATGTCCCCATGGATGCTACATGCTTCAATACCTCCATCTGGATTTGATGACCCTAATAATATTTAATGGAGAATACAAATTATTAATCCCCTTGTTATATAATTTTATCTATCCTCATCTTACTTCCTGTATCTTAAGGTTTACACTCTTATATGAAGGACAAATTTATACTATTCGATAAAATAAATCTCATTTTTTCTGATATTCAACAATTTATTATAAATTTATATAAATATAAAGTACACACAGGGATAAAAGAAGCTTGGGAATACTAAAGAAGAACAAATTTACAGGCCAACAGCTGACCCAGTCCTCATCACCTGTGTATTTGTGCCCACATCGAGAGTGATGGGCAAACACTGATGTGGCTTGATGCCTGCCAGGGCTGTGTACAGGGCCAACTTGCCCACAGGAATGCCCATGCCATATGCACCCAAGTCTCCCAGTCCAAGAATTCTTTCCCCATCAGTTACAACAATGGCACGAACATCAGATTCAGGCCTGAAAATAACCTTTAAAACTTAGACATAAAATGACTAAAGCTAATGAACTCATCTTCAGGTCATAGTGATAAAAAAATACAGAATTTCTTCTTTTTCCCACAGCACAGCAACCAGGCTGGCTCCAGGAACCGCTCAACTTTCTATCCAGTGAGTACTGGTGGCTCTTTCCCCAGGAGTGAAGAAGCTGGGTCACGAAGTTGACCACTCACTTCCAACTAGTGCTAATGTTAAGAATGAGAGATCTGCATCTTCATACCCCAAACAATTTCGTGGAATGGTGCTCAATTAAGCAGAAAGGCAACTTTACCTTTCTGCCTTTTATGTTGTCCTATAAGCATTATTGAATAGCAGTCATATAGGACAACATTCTACTGGGTTAAAAATATATTTAGTTCTGTTGGGCTCCAAAATTTTCATGCTGCTTCTGGGACCACAACTTATGTCTCACATGTCAACCACTAGTAACTCTCAGTGTATCCCACCTACATGATTTCAGTTCACATCTGTCACTTGAATTCCAGTATTCCATGGATCCAACCCTAATATGAATTCTAATCTACATCTTTCATCTGCTACTATTTCTTACATACCTAGTGGCCCTGTGTTCAGATATTACTGTGTGGCTAGTCTGTTCTACAGAGTACAACTTCTCTATTAACTGTCACAACACAACAAATATCAGGATCAGTGCCTAGCTATGGCTCTGCTACATGTTTCGTTATACAGAGTGTCCCAGAAGGAAAGATTAATATTCTTGGAGGTCATTTCCTCTTCCAAACGGTTTCTGAGATAGAGCTATTTCACTGTACAATACACTGTATGCTGCACAGATGAGCAACATGCCATGTTCTCACGCAAGTTGCAAAGTGCATTGATGTTGATGGTCGAACTCTTGAAAATGCATTATACTGGGTAAACTGTACCAACTTTGTCACTTGAACAATAAATACTGGTATTAGAAACAGTACGCAATCTCTCTTTCTTATAAAAAATTTGGCCTATACAGTAGCTCTGTCTTTAAAACCATTCAGAATAGGCCACATGTACATACACACTCTTTTGCTTAGAATGATTGATACTATGACCTCCCAGAATATTGGTCATTCCTCCTGGGACACTCTGTATACTGTTAACAGCTATAGTGGGGTGGGAAGACTATACAAATAACAATAAGACTTGTTAGCTAATTGATAGAAAATTTAACTTTCACTCAGAAGTATCTGATTCAGATCTCTGCAGATGTGTTGCCTGAAGATGGCCCTATGCGGCTGAAACATGTAGCATAAACACCAAATGTACATATACATTTAATAATTTTAATCACATTTTAAACATTTAATGAACATCTAGTGAATTAAATGTGAATTAATGTTATTAAATTAATACTGTTGAATTATAGATGGAAAACAAGACTATAAGTTTAGCCTCAATGCAACAGGATGCTGAAATATAATATTATAAAGGTAATATGCTTACTATTTTTGTTCATTCATATCAAATAATGGAGCTGGGATAGCGTAGTCAGTATAGCAACTGGCTAAGGGCTGAATGAGAGAAGAGTTGTAATTGGAGTCCTGGTAGGGTCAAGAATTTTTGCCTATCCACAGTGTCCAGAACAGCTCTGGGGCCCACCCAGCCTCCAATCCAATGGGTACCAGGATTTCTTTCCCCAGGGGTAAAATGGTAGGGGCATGAAGCTGACCACTCACCTCCAACTAATGCCAAGATCAAAAAAACGTGGCTCTATACATGCACTCCCTCATAGACTTTCATGGCATTGCACTTAATTAGTTAAGCACAGGGACAACTTTACCTTTTACCTTTTTACACACCAGATGATGGTCAAAGAGACTGAAATATGTGGTGTGACTGATATAATAAACTGACTAACTTATTGTTTTCACTTGATTTCAATACTTTCATTACACAGTACTCAAACCGACGCTGTTGTGTGATGATAAAGAAACTTTAATTGGCATGAGTTACTATGTTCTCGTGTATTTGTGTGTGTGTGTGTGTGTGTGCATGTGTGTGCATTAATATGTGTTATCATAAATAAGGATTCTATAAAACTGTATTTCAGGTACACTGGTAATTTTAACTGGACAGTTCATTATTCTGGAGTGGAACATGGCTGGCTAGCTATTCTCATCTTTTTTTCTGTGTGTGTTCAATATGAATATATGCTACCTTACCAATTTCTAAGAACATCATAGACATGTCCATGGTCATGAATGGTGATGAAGAGTCCCCTTGGTCTTCGGTAGATGAGTCCATATTTCTGACAGGCCAAACCAACAGTAGGAGTATACACAAGAGGCATTAGCTGTTCCACATTCTCTGATAGAAATCGGTAAAATAAACGCTCATTGCGGTCCTGGAAGAAAAGAATCATTTATATATATATATATATATATATCTGAAAGATGAACTCATATAGATTATGGCTGTGATGCTTCAAATAACATATATTAATGGAACCTCATGATCTAGGTTTAATCTAGGAGCATAATATATATATGTTGGTGGAATATTCTGTGATTTGGCAAAACGTTTTTGACTGTATAAATCACAAAATTTTATTAACTGAATTACATTTTTTTGGCATTTGAGGAGCAACAGCAGATTAGTTCAGATCCTGTCTGACGGATAGAAAACAAAAGATTGTAACAAAATCATCGAATTTTACCCAAAGTACCTACTCAAATTGGGGAACAATAAAGCATGGAATTCACCAGGGGTCAATTTTAGAACCTTTGCTTTTGCAAATACAGTAAAACTTGGTTATAGCAACATCGGTTTCTGCGACACCTTGTCTATTGTGTCAAATATTCAATGGTACGAACTAATTCCTCATACAGCAACTGTTTTTATACCTTGCTTAGTACGACATGCACAAATGCATCAACCTCGTATGTAACGTCATTTTCATTCCTGAATTTCTCTGATATCATGGGAAAGTTCGATGTGTCTGCCCACCCTCACTTTCTCTACTTGCTGACGTGACTGTCCTGGAAGAATACGACCGCGGGCTGCAAGAGGAGCGTGGGTTTTATGCGAAAACAAGGGTGTGGGGTGGGACTGCGTGAATAGTGCAAGAGGACGCGGCAGGTTGTTAACTGCATTCCTTTCCTAGAATCTCGTCTAACAGGACCTCACATTGTCTACTTACCCTATAGTGTTCCTGCCTAAACCCAGAGAAGTGCAGTAGCGAAAACATGGCAATGAAAAGGAAAGTTTTAAGCATTGAAGAGAAAGTTAAAGTGATTCCTGAAATATTGTGTGTATTGTCAGTGAAAAGCGCTGTAATATGTCTTTGATATTACACATTTGGGCAATTCCACGTTGATGTTACGTTAGTCTGTACTTAACTATGTATTTTACTAAAAAATGCAACATCTTAACTCGGTTTTTGGTAGATTTTTACGTGACTAACATAAGGCTACTGTGGAAGTGCCCATTTCGGTTACAACGATATTCGTTTATAACGACACTATTTTTAGGTCCCTTTGATGACATTATTACCAAGTTCTACTGTATGTAGAAGAGGCAGTAAACAGAAAATTCCTTGGCTTACAAGTTGATAATCATTTACTCTGGAAAACCCATTTTGATCAATTGGTTTCAAAGCTAATCTGAGCATAGACTTGAAAGGATTCTGATCATGGTGTATACTGTACTTCTCTTGGCTTGTTTTGGACTTATCCATTTTCGTGGTCTTTTGTCTTTTACATACCAGACGATGGATGAAGTCCAAAACAAGCCAAAAGAAGTTAAGCTGAGCATGTTATGCAGTTAGATCTATGTTGCATATCAACAACACTGATACTCTCAAACCAATTTCCTTTGCTTACTTTCACTCTTTAATGAAGTATGGAATAATTTTGTGGGGTAATTCATCTGACAGCAAAAAGGTATTTACATTGCAAAAGACAATTATATTAGACTCATGGTGGGTTAAAAATCCTGTCATTCTCGTCAAGATCTATTTAAGAGACTAGAGATCTTAGCTCTTTGATGTGAATATATATTTTCTTTAATATACTTTATTACAAACAACAAAGAACATTTTCAGACCAGTGTATATGTACACAGCGTTAACACAAGACACAAGCACTATCTCCATAAATCAACTGCTAACCTCTCTTGCTTTCAGGAAAGCAATTATCTGCCATATGATGATTAAAAAGTCTTATGAACAAAAAATTACAATTTAAAATAGCTCTAAGACGATACTTAAACACACATTCATTCTACTTTGTTGATGAATATTTATAGTCTAAAAAGTGACATCAATTTAAAGGCTGTGTAAATATCATAATTTGACAGTATATATATATATATTTGGATGTATTTTGAATAATCTCATGTGTGACCACTGTGTTTTCTTGGGTTTTCTTGTGTGAGAACTTCAGTTGTACTGTACATATGTTTTTGTATTTACATGACATAGTTCACATCCTACAGTCATTTTGAATAATTCTGGATCCAGGGAATGTAATGTAATGTCTCCTGCAACAAGGTTCCTAAGCATGAGGCCAGCAGAATCCAATCTGGGTTCTTCCACAGACCTTTACCATCTCTTACTTCTGTCACACTCAGACATCTGTGTATGTGAATCACATCTTCAAACAAAATTTAATATGCCTAGCTCCAATGGTCAGTTAATTGTCAATGTCAAATTGTAAATTAAATGAAAATTTTTACAAAGCTACCATGTTGTTGTTTTATATCTACAAACATTTACCTTAATGAAAGTTGCATAATATTTCAGGTTCTTTATAAGAGGGATCACTGGGAAGACCAAGACGTAGGTGGGTGGACAATATTAAAACGGATCTTAAAGAGATAGGATGGGATGGTATGGATTGGATTGATCTGGCTCAGGATAGGAACCAGTGAACTTGTGAACATGGTAATGAATCTTTGGGTTCCATAAAATGCTGGGCAATTCTTGAGTAGCTGCAGAATTGGTGGCTCCTCAAGAAGGGCTCAGCTCCATGAGCGAGTAAGTAAGTAAGTAAGTATAAGAGGGAAATTAATTTCTTGACCAGCTGGGAGACTATCAGCTTTTCGAGGAATCGAGGGAATTGTTTAGAACAACCACAAATTGTTAGCTTCTTGATCCTAATCTATTTACACTAATTTTTTTTTTGCCAAGTATATAAGCAATTTTTTGTAGGGATGTCTGGCAATTACCTGTACATCTTGTGTTCATGGTAGTCTGATTGACAGTGTGATTCAAACCATCCTAGTTTAAATGATTACTATTTCATCCATTTCTGAAATGCAGGGGATTGTGTACAATTGGATGCTACACTTTACATTTGTCACGGAGCTCAGTGTTCAGGCGGGGGATCATGTAGCCAGGCCTGCATGCACCTCTTGTTTGATTGAAATATCACTGCACCCCTTCTGGGTAGGTCAAGTAACTGCTCATCTGATGTCAAGGGCTATGGCTGCCCCAGGACTCATGAGAAAGTTCTCGAAGCATACATGTGAGAGTAGTTACAAAGTCTGGCTTCAAAAGCATAAATGGTTATGGACAGTGGGACAATAATTACTTCAAATATCAATAAACAATTTAATTTAAAGGCATGTATTATTAATACTTCATTGTGGGCTGTATTCATAAATATATTCTTGACTTCAAACAATGTTTATGTGGCTCAGCACCTAACAATACATAACCAGTGATGCTCTGGTGACATTTATGAAGCAGATACATACCTGCAGGCCCATGAGGTAGATGTACTTATTGAGGTCTTCAGTATATCTTTCAATATTAAGGCGACATAATTCTAACTGCTCTTCCTGAGTCTTGAACCGTGGAGGAATCAACCCATGGATTCCCAGTAACTGGCGCTCTTTAAGAGTGAATGCCATCCCCTAGGAAAAATATCAATCCATTTTTAACTTTATGAGATCGAAATAATATGATGGGGCAGGAATGAAATTAGTATCTCAAAGGAAGAAGGCCATATTGCTATAGTTGCAAAATTTAAGAGATACGGAGGTATACACACAAATATAGTACATGAAGTCGACATACTACAAAAGGAATAAATGAAAGAGGAATATATTTCCAAAGGCAAAATTAATGGACTTGAAAACAGATACAAACGTTACGATTATATCTGATGAACTGAAGCTATTTGTAAATTGCTATAGGAAATTATGTGCATGAGTCGATCGTTAATTGTATGATTAGGTATGTTCCTGCTAGTTTCATAACATTTATTGTTAAAAGCTGAAGAAAAGTAGCCATTTCCTTAACTTCTAGTTATTTTTATTGGCATTCTAAAGAACCTGACTTTGCCATATTTTATAATGATGCCTCTGGAAGTCAGTACTGTAAGTTCTCCCAATATAACTCAATAGTCAGTTCGTACTAAAATGTACAGCTTTTCTTCCATTTGTATATTAGCTTCGTGCGAAAGCGTCTCTTATGCATTCAGAGTTTCTCTGAATTAAATTAAAATATCGGATGTCCTGCAGATTGTTTCTTCAGATTCTCATAGTCAAGTTCTGATGAGATTTTTTTTATTCACTTAGTGGGGGGTGGAGTCCAACTGGGACCACTCGGCACGGCGGCCACTGATTGGCCTATTGTAGCCTGCCCCGGGTGATTATGATAATGTAGAATTTGGTGGAATGAAGATTGGTAGGGGAAACCGAAGTACTATTGCGCGGAGTGTAACTTAATCACTCCTACACGTAACAATATTAATAATGAATATAATAAAACAATGAAGACAAAAGATACACTTCCTGTAACGAATGTATTTTTTGTGGCACGTATAAAGAGATTGTTCTTGCATTACAATGATTACTGTTCTAAGACCAAAGTCCCGCCCCTCGTCTTATCCTCTCGTTGAGATCTTAACCATTCGCTCGTGCAGTGCGCTTGGGTAATCGGTGTACGTGTCAGGTTGTGAGGTAACACGTAATTTTTCTTCATTTAGATTATTTCACAACAGATAAGTAATTTCAAAAGTCATTTTACGTAATGACACCTTGTTGCTATGCCTCGCAATAATCACGGAACAGCGAAAAGCATGTCACAGTGGAGTCATGCTAAACTGTGCCACACATTTATATGATTGTATAGTTCACGTTCATGTTTCGTATTTAAATTAACAGAGAATATCTATCGCGATGTAATGTAAATCACACAGTGCTACTACAAACTGCCACTGTCTCCTCTATCAGTAACTGTTGTTATAAGTCTGTGGTGCTGGGCTGATTGCCTGCCGACCAAGTGTGAGATTTCGTTACAAATATATCAAAATTAAGTTCTAAATAATTATAACTATTCAGCACTCGTATCTTATAGCTGAAATATCAGTTCTGCATATTTCACTTAAATGGAGATACATCCCGGCCTACCAAGCAAGTTCGGTGCCTAGAAGCTCTAACCTTGACGACTGCTGCATCGGTTTTTCACGTATAATTGGAACTCGTCAGGAGCCGGGGTAGCTCAGTCGGTATGGGCTGGCTATGGGCTGGAATCGGATTTCGAATCCTGATGGGGCAAGAATTTATTCTTCTCCACGTCGTCAAGACTGGCTCTGGGGTCCACCCAACCTATTCAATGGGTGCAGGGGGTTCTTTCCTCGGAGTTAAAGCAACCGGGGCTTGAAGCTGACTACTCACCTCCAGCTAGTGCCGACGTCAAGAAAATGTGGATCTATACATCCACTCCCCACACGTCTTCATGACGTAGTGCTTAATTATTTGAGCACAGGGACAACTTTACCTTTTACCTTTACCTGAATTGGAACTCGTCTCTTCCAGGAATGACCCGGAAACTGGCTGCATTGCATATGCTTTCATTATCGTACTGACATTAGCCACAGTCGAAATAGAATGAGACTGAGAAAGCATTGTTTTTACAAATTAACTATCAGCTAGAATTGTCGCAACTATTCGCTACTTTGAACTTGTAATAATGGTGAGTAAGTGCTTGGTATCCTTGCTATATATTCGAGAGTTGCTGAGCTAGACTCTCGGTTTGGGGGCCGATTATCCTGGGTGTCTTTCGGGGGGTTTCCTCAGTCCCTCAAGGCAAGTGGTAGAATAGTACCTTAAAACAGGCCACTCATGGACGTTTCTCCAGCCTTCTTAATATATCGTTCAAATTCCACGCTATACAGATCATGGTGTTGAGAAAATGTTGTTAAATCAAGCAGGAAACACAATAAATCGGCACCCTCCGTGGGTTGAGATCTCAAGCGAACTATACCAACCGAGCGACCGCCGCTTGTCGGTGAAGTTAGTGCCAACCTTAGCAGATAGAGGGTGTCACGTGGTCAGCGCAACGAACCCCACGACTGTTGATTTCGGTTTTCTAGACCGGAGCTGCCATTTCCTTGAAAGAGCTCCTCAATTATCCTCACGAGGCTGAGTGGACCCCGTTCCAGACCCATTACAATAAATCGGCACCCAGTAACAGGAAACGTGCGGCAGTACAAACATCACAATATCCACTGTACGGGAACATCAGTACACCCAATAGACGTCGTAGACAAAGTTAAGAAAGCACGTAAAAGATTAGTAAAATCACTAGGATATAACAAGAGGACTGGGATTCGATTCCCTAGTGATTTTACTTATCTTTTACGTGCTAGGACAAAAAGAAACTCCGTGGTTTTAGTCCGCAAGCGAACTATACCGACCGAGCGACCGCCGCTTATCGGCGAAGTTTTTTTTTATTGCTAGTGGGGTGGGACTAAGTCCCTTGTACTGCGGCCACTTCTGGCCTATTGTACCAGCCCAAGATGATAGGGGAGGGTGATTGTGGAGCAATTTGTGGAATGAAGATTGGCAGGGGAAACCGAAGTACTGGGAGAAATCCTGCCCCAGCGCCACTTTGTCCACCACAAATCTCACTTGACCAGACCCGGGCTCGAACCCCGGCCGCCGCGGTGGGGAGCCAGCGACTAACCGCTTGAGCTATGGCGCGGCCCTAGTATCGGTGAAGTTAGTACCAACAACGATATTTCCTTACGCATCCTTTTCAATTCATCATTCATAATTATGCTCCCGTTTGACGCTGTATGAAGAATATAGTTAAAAAATATTCGTTATGCAAGCGGAAACCAAGCCACTTTAATCCTAAGTAGTACTACGCCACTCTCGTCTACGTAAGACATGACCCTTACAGTTAGCACAGCAATGAACTTAATGGAAGGAAGTTTCTTGGATGTACAGGCTGTTTGACGTCCTCAACATTCTTCACGGAGTTCAGGATAACAGGAAAAGCAAAGCTATCAATTTCACGAATGAATAAATGAGAGTAACAGAGATAGGTCTATATTTCAATAAGTTCAGGATGGACTGGACTCATCTGGCTCAGGATCCAGTCTAGTATCAGCAGAATTACTCTGCAAACCACTAAAAGTGACAACACTGACTGACCGATGTATTCTGAAATTATCATTTTTGATTCGAATGTCCACAAGAAGACCTAGCGGGACTTGACCTAATAAAAGACGGGTATGCTTGCTTGTCGAACAAATCCTCAAAAGTTCGCGTCGCCTTCATATTGACGCTATTCAGTCAGTGCCCTGTTGAAATTGTTGAAGTTAAGGATTTACAGACAGGACTCCGGGTGATCCCCAGTTTTTTCAAAAGTGATTAGGGTACACAGAATGCTGTTAAATGCCTATAAAAGATCCTAAAGTTGAACTTAGAACTGTTTACAGATAGCACCAGTGATCGACGAAACGAAATGTGCGATATTCTTCGCTTCATTGCTGAAAGTTATCCAAAAGCTCCTCTGTGTCGTGCTAACATTACAGTTAGCTTCGCTACAGGGCCTACGGCCGGTCACGGTAGCCGAGAAGTCTAAGTCATGTCCTGTTTTCGCTCGCTCGGAAGTCGGAATCGTGGGTTCGAATCCCACACAAGGCATGGATGCTTGGTATGTGTATCTGTTTATTCTGTGTTTTTATTGTCCTCTGTTTAGGTATAGGTCTTGCGACGAGCTGATCACTCGTCCAAGGAGTACTGCCGTCTGTAAAATGATCATGAAATTGAAAATCAGAGGCCAGGATAGAAGAGGGGCTGTAGAGCCAGTGAAAAAAAGGGCCTACACTGGGAGATAAAATTAAGAAGGATGAGATGGGTGGGAGGGGAGGGGCACGCGTGAAAAGATGAGAATATTTTGCTCGGAAAATCTGAAGATTAAACAAAGGTCACACAGCTGTAAAATGGAGGTAATATTAAAATGAGTCTTAAAGAAACGGGTTGTAATGATGTGAAGATCTATGTGGCACAGGATAGGGACACTTATATAGTCTCTTGTGAAAACGATACAGAAACTTCGGGTTCCATAAGAGACAGGGGCCTTCTTGAATAGCTGAGGATGTTAGGTTCAGGAATTGGTCAGCTGGTATGAGATTACATAAGAACAGATCTGTTCCTACCGTAATCGTTTCAGCCTGAAATTTTATTTCTGTCCTAATATATTGTCTTTTGGTGTATTTAATTTCGGTATGTCAGCTGCCTTAGTTACATGGTGTGGAAGCGGCCTCCGTAGTCTAGGGGTAACGTTCCCACCTCATGGCGCAAGGTCGTGGAATTTTGAAGGGCGGAAAAATTCAGGGAACAAGTCCTCCGGGAGGGACTTTAAGCCGTGTGTCCCGTGTCGTAGATTTACGGCACGTAAAAGAACCTCATGTCTCTAGGAGACCTCTGAGCTAAATTACAGGCCCTTTCCCGCCCAAGTAGTCTCCAATGCCTCTGGTGGATGGGGGAAGCATCAAGGTACCGAGGGCCGACCTCGTTGGCTCTACGGGGGCTGATGGCACGCACCGTTACCGGTTGGGTATGGCGACAGTAGAAATTAAAGGGGGACGCACAATGGACCAATAACTGGTCTAAGT